TATATATATATATATACATATGTATATAAGAATTGAGTGGTATATATAAAAAATATTCCAAAAATATTAATTAGTAAAATTAAACAAAAAAGTTATCATTTATCTAATTTATATCAAATTAAATAACATATTTGAACTACATAGCATATCTCAATCACAAATTTTTTTGAGGCATTTACATGCATAACCTCACAATTCATGTGTATTTACATATTTGCCATCAAAACATTCATAATTAAATTTATTTCATTGAAATTTTTAACACAACAATAAAAATATCACCATGACGATTTTTTTTTTTAAATAAAACTTTTCATTTATATACTTATAATACAAAAGTGTTATATGTGTAAATCTCAATGTTAGAGATATAAATAAATAAGAGTTGTGAGCCATACATGTAAATTGCGTTTTTCTTCTTTCTAAGAATAGGGTTATTGCAACATAACCTGGAATCGAGACCGTCGAATTTTCCTATCGATGTAAATGCACAAAATTATGCTCTCTCCGATCTCACCGTCCCTTCACTCCCAGTCATATTCCGAGCATAACCCTAATTTCTCCCTCCAGAAGTGAACTTCAGGTCAGATATTCCTTCGACCTATGTTTCCTATGTTGATTTGTTTTCCTCTTTGTTCCGTCAGTTTTCTCTACGGGCCGATCTCTGAATTTGGCGACGCCGGAGCTTCAGATCCTCTTTTTTTGGTATTCTAAATTAGATTTTTGAAAGTAGGCTCAGGGCTTGTACACGGTCCTTCTTATACGGCGAGGATTGTCGTACTGAATCTTATTGGTGTTGAATCCTGATCCGTGAATCACAGCTCAAGCGTTTGAGTGTAAGACATTAGAGAGAGAGGCAGAGAGAGAAATGCACCAGAAAGTTAAAATTTATTTTTCAGCAGCCATTTTTTTTAAAATGATCCCCTAATTAGAAGGAAGGGAGTACAAGATATTACATGTTTGTCCATGCTTTAAGGAGGCCACTGCATGATATTTTAGATTGTATGGGTCTTTGACTTGTCTACCCTCTGACTCTGTCGGTTGAACTAAGTGGGTCTTGGTTCGACAAGGCCTGCTCATTTGACTGTGCTGAGTTGGATTTGTCAGTCGGCATTCGATAATGTTTGGGTTGGCAGGGCTGACTCGATTTACTTGGCTTTGCCAATATGCTATTCTAGTATAACTGTTCATCATTGATTCCTGGTGAGGAACTTCTGTAGGCCGAGCAATGCTAAACTATCATACAGAGGGCGAACCATAGTAATCCGATAGACAACTCACTCCCAAATAAAAGGAATAAGAGGGATGATTTTGATATCTTGTGACATGGCTGTTTCTCGGTCCATAATAAAGAACCCTTGGGGCTTTCGTGAGATGACTGATGGTATTGAGGAGTTGAGTCATTACTTAGGTTCGGGCTCGAACCATCCAGACATCTTTCGTCTTGTGGACTTAGGCTCGAATGACTGTGTCCGGTCGGCTTTGGCTTTGGTTTGGGCTACTATGTCCGGTTGGTTAAATGAGCCTCTTGGTCTTCTGTCGGTGACCCTTTTTAGTTGTACTTTTCTGTCTCTTGGATCATTGGTTCTTCTCTAGGTTTGTGCTAGCGTATTCTCAATGCACAATTGGGTTTCTTCAAATTTATTGCTCTTCAAGCTATAGCTTCGTCCGAACAACTACGTCCTTTTCCTCTTTCAAAGAATGGGCCTGTGTTCAGTTTTATTGATACGATGCACATTGGATCAATAGAGTGCTCTATTGTTCATTAAGCTTTCCCATCTTATATTTATTGCTGTTTTAGGGGTGTTTGGTTTGAGATTACTTTTTTAGATGATGATTATTAGTTTGAAGGATCTGAAATTTATTGGGCTACGCAGTGCATTTATTCCTTATAACATTATAATTGAGCTAATTATGATAGAAGGAGGGGTGGAGATTAAGGGATGCATTATCCATTCTTAATTATGTTTGGAGTATGTCTTTTTTATTTGTTTTAGTTTGCTATTTTTTGAGTGTTTATATTTAGTCTTATTTGGATGCATTTGAAAACATAGGAGCATTGCTTGAATCAGAAAGATGGTGAAGAGGAACCCCCTTGTTTTCTTGGAGATATCAGTTGCTGGTGACCCAGCTGAGAGATTGGTAATTGAGGTACTGTTGCGATTTGGATTTCATGTTTTTTTTGCGTTAATTCTTTTATTTACATCTCTTTTTTGAACATCTTTATTTGAAACAGCTTTTTTCAGGTGTTGTTCCAAAGACTGCTGAGAATTTCCGTTCACTTTGCACAGGTATATCTGTGACATCCCAATCCTTTGTGAATTAACATTTCATCTGGAATTTTTAATAATAAACTGTTCATCATCCGTGACGCGTTATTTGAAAATTGCTAAATCAAGATGGTTTATATCTGTAGTCAATTTTTACCTTTGTAGAGTTTTTTATTTTGTGATTTTGCTTGTTTGCTTATATAATATTAGTGTAAATTTTGATTTGAATACAATTTTTCATTTTTTCCTACAATTTATATTTTATTTTGAAGCATTGTACCCCAATGTTCTATTTATACTTCAAGTCAATAAACAATTTTCTAAGCTAAGTTATTTTTTACTCTTTTTGTCAGTAATGCATTTCCAAAATTTTATGCTGTGTTATTAGTGGCATATGAAGCACATTCCACTAGAGCCCTTTGCTAGATGATATCATTGTTTCAAACTTGGTGATTGGTTTTCACCAAAGAAGGCTTCGCTGATGGAATGCTAGTTGCTGTGATTGGTTCTATTAATCAATTTAACCATTCTATTTCATGTTACCCTTATTATCCTAGTACTTTTGTAGTGGAAATTGTTTTTTTTTTGCATTCAATTGTTCTTTGTAGTATTTATCAGCCCATCACGCATGCTTCTATACCATTTCAAGCCCAGTGCCCGTGTTTACGTATTTTGATTTTAAGTCTCATATATTCTACTTTGCTTACTATTTATTTTAATATTTGTCAACCTCATTGCTGAAAAGATTTTGTGGGCTTTATGTTTTTTTAATCTCTAAATATATGAGCTCTAACCTAGCAGCAAATGCCTACGCTATTATTGTTGAGATTTGTTATCTAATGTAGGGTTATATTGTAAATAGAAGAATTCTAGGGATTTACTTGTAAATGTTGTAAGGCTCTATATAAGCCCATGTGTTAATGAAATGAGAGCGTTTTTTCACAAACTAATTCCATATGGTATTAGAGCCGTAACCTAGTAGCTAGTCGACCTTAACTCGATCTTTGTTTCTTTCGTGGCACCTACGAGATTGGTAGACCTGTTCGCGATAGATCTTGGTGGGAAGTCGGACGGGAAAGGCTACGACGTGCGTGGCTACCTGGGATTGCGACGACGGGCGTGCAAACTTGTGCTACATTTGCGAGTAGAGCTAACTGTGAAGGCACTAAGAGATCGTGGCGAGTACACGATATTGAGTAGGGAGGGCGCAACGGGATCACTGTGCTACAATTGCCTAACTGCGAAGGCACCAAGGAGATCGTCGTGGGACACAAACACGATACAGTCACGCGATTGGAGTTAGTGTTATCTGCTGCGAAACCAGAGAAGCCAATATCTTCATTGTGCTCATCTTTGCCACTTGTGCAAATGTTTCACCATAGTCAATGCCATATGTATGAATGTACATTTTTGGCACTAGTCGTTCTTTGTACCTCTCCACCTTCGCTTTTAGAGTTTGTTTTACCGTGAAGTTCCACTTGTATCCAACTGTAGTATCAAAGCAGCGTACGTTGTTTTCAGGAGTGTTCTGTGGCTGATTTGTGCTTTAGGCAGGAAGTAACAGACAAAGCGAAGCTTTGTTCTTTTGTTCAGAGGAAAGTTGTGATAATTTTCTGTGAGGATGTCAACAGAAGGGGATGGTGCAAGAGGTAAAGAATTGAAACTTTTGGATAAGATAGATCCCAAAGTTTAAAAGGTCTTAGTCGGGCTTATACAGGGAGCTAGCGTCTCGACGAGAGACACTACCTAAACACTTGCTCCAATGCAGGTGAAGCTAGATCTCCCTCCTGCGGATCTGAAGCTCGACTATCCGACCATGTATTCGAGTTGGTCATGTTAGATCGAGGCTGCTCTAGTAGGGAAGATACTAAAAGGATACTTAACGGGGTCGAGCCAAAGAGTGATAGTGTTGAGAAGTATGATTGTAGGGCCACACATGCCTTGCTTTACACCTGGCTACTCAATTCGATGGTTCCATTGATTATTTCATCAGTGGATGTCATTCGAAAGGTGAACGACATTTGGGTGAAGATGAAGAAGATTTATGCTGGTGCTGAGATCCACATGAGGGTGTTTCAGGTTCAGCATGAGGTAGAGGCAGTGATTCATGGTGATAGATCAATTCGAGAGTACTCTACAGACTTGGGGTGACTGTGGCAAGATCTTGATCACTTCTTACCTATGTCGAGTTGTGATGAACTAGGGTGTAATAATGGAGAGATCTAGGGTGTAATAATGGAGAGATCTTTGCATATATAAGGACTATGCAGTTTCTAACTCATGTAAACCTGACCTTTGATCAGAGGAGATCGATTCTCTTAGCTAAGACGACTATTCCTGCACTAGATGAGACCATTGATGTGATGATACAGGAGAGTCGCATGAAGTTGCACTATGATCAGAGTGGTTTTTTGGGTGCACAATCCGCATTGGCTGCCGCGAGCCCTAGTACGCTAAGTTTCCAGGGGGAGACTCGTAGTGCCACAACTGTGGTGAAGTTGGCCACCTGAGCAGGGTCTGTCCTAAGCCACCGAAGGTGAGAGATATAGGTGGGCGTGGACAGGGTGGAGGTCGTGGGGGTCAGAAAGGCGGAAGAGGGGGCTACTAGACAAATCTGATTGTAGCAGAGGACGAGGGAGAGATGGGTGTAATCTTTACTAGTGAGTATCATGAGTGTCTGATGTTGTTGAAGAGGAAGAGAGAAAAAGCAGTAGATGTAGCTGAGGATGTTTCAAATCCATCAACATCAAATGGTAACATTGCCACTCTAACTCGCTTTAGCAAAGGTATTAGTGACACACTTACTCTTGCATTTATTTCCAACATAGAATCATCAGAATGGATCATAAATTCTGGTGTTTCTCATTATGTGACATGAGCTGTCGGAGAGTTCTCTACATATACTCATCTAGCAGTACTAGCTTATGGTACAACTCAGTCTGTAGTTGGTAAGGGTACTATAAGATGTACCAATCATATGACTTTGTCCAATACTTTGCATGCTCCTTCTTTTCCAGTAAACCTCTTATCTATTTGTGACATTATTCTTTAATTAAAATGCATTGTTTCTTTTGATATATCTCAGGAGATCTTCCAAGAGAAAGGGGCGGGCTGGACGCTTAGGACTGGAACGTGGCATATCGAACTATAGTACTTGGACCAAGTGAGGTTAAACTCGGCTTTGGCATCTATGGTGGAAAGTGCTGTAGTAGGAGAATCTGGTTGGAACGTCAATGATGTGTTATTGCTACATCATAGAAGTATGAGACATGCTAGTCTTTGTTTACTGAGTCGGTTGTATTCATTTATGTATGAAAAAACAAATAAGAAGAAACTGGTGTGTGATGCTTGTGAGTTTGGCAAGCTGAATTGGAGCTCTTATGTCAGTTTCTGGGAATAGGAGCTTTGGGGTGTTTGATTTGGTACATTTTTTATGTATGAGGACCTTGTCTTAATAGTTCTATGAATGATTATCGGTATTTTATTACTTTTATTGATTGTTTTTCTTGTGTTACCTGTATATACTTGATGAAAAAAAATAGTAAGGTGGTTGCTTGCTTTAAAGAGCTTGCTTTAAAGATCCACAAGACAATCCAAACCCAATATGGTGCAGTTGTGAAACTACTGAGATCTGATAATGAGAGAAAATATATCAATAAAACATTTGGGGACTACCTGTCAGCTCAAGGGATACGACACCAAACCACATGCTCATACACACAAGCTCAAAATAGAGTAGAAATGAGGAAGAATCGACATCTTCTAGAGTTAGCTCGGAGCATGATGATGACAATGAATGTCTCATAACACTTGTGGGACAAGTAATGCTGACATCCGCTCAATTGATTAACATGATACCCTCAAGAGTGTTAAAGTGGAAGTCTCATTGTTAGATGTTGAAAGGAGATAATAGTAAGATCCTTTCATTAAAGGTATTTGGATGTGCAGGCTTTGTGAAAGACAACATACATTTGGAAGGTAAAGGTATTTCTATCACAGAGCTGTGAAACGTATATTTGTGGGTTATTTAGCTACTCAGAAGGGTTATGCCTGTTGGAGTCCGATTGAAAATAGATTATTTGTAAGTATGGATGTGATATTCAGAGTTTGAACCATATTACATTTTAGAGGTGTAAGTCACCCTTCGGTGATTCAACAACCACTAAAGTTATGAGGCAAGAGAGAGTGAGTGGTAGTAATGATGGAGCGATGCAATTGGGAGAAATGCCATGTCCTGTGATGTGGGATGAATCAACTAACGAGACGAAAATCGATGAGATTGACCCTAGAGGTGGTGAGATTCAGGTTGAAGGTGAGCTAAGGGTGTATATGCGGAGGAAGTAGCAAACTAAGGAAACTTACCTGTTGTGCCAACAAGTCCCTTATCCCAGTCTTCGCCAACTTTTGAGACACCTACACCATCCACTTTTGATTCACCCCATATTAAGGAGGACCTTCCGCAACAATGAGGGACACCCTCCTGATTATTTGCGTGTGAACTTGAAATTGCAAACTTTGTTTTGTATTCTAACATCTCACCTTTACATGGAGCATTCATTGTTTAATTGGACTCTATCTCTATACCCAAGTGTTGGTAGGTTGCTAAGGAGGATCCAAAGTGGAAAGCAACGATTTATGAAGAGCTTAGAGCTCTTGATAAAAATCGAACGTGAGAGATTGTACCACTACCAACAGGGAAGAAGACAATTAAATACAAGTGGATCTTCACGGTAAAACAAACTCCAGAAGGGAAGGTGGAGAGTTACAAAACACGACTAGTGGCAAAATGGTACAGTCAGACATATGACATTGATAATGATGAAATCTTTGCATCAGTCGCAAAGATGAGCACAGGGAGGACACTGACATCCCTGTAAGTGAATGGTGGATAGAGACTCCACCAACTGGATATGAAGAGATCTTTTCCTCATGGACAGCTACTGGAGGAGCTACATATTGAGATACCACCTGGATTCAGTGCTTCCCATATAGTGAGCAAGGTGTGTAGGCTCAAGAAGTCA